CCAGCAATAGAATAAGACTATAAGACGACACAACCAAAAAGTACAGCATGGAGAAGAAAGTTCAAGCGTGCCACTTACAAGTAACCAATAACCACAGTTCAATTCAACAGCCAAGATTATAAATGCATTACTTCAAAGAATCATCTCAAACAGTGTCATGGAGAGAACAAAGAAAGCATGAGGCTGCTTATTGGACATAAGATTGTATGTCTAGGGGAAAATTAATAAAAGTTCATGTTTAGGCACAATGCAAGCATATCATAGTGCTATCTAAAGAGGCTAGCCACCCTTGTGAGCAAGGACCAGTTGAAGAACAGAGCCACCTTCAATGTTGTAATCTTTAGCAGTTTTGTCATCTGCAAGATGCTTACCAGCATAACTGAGGCTGCAATAAAAAATGTTTCACATCACCACATGCTTCATAAAAATTTGGATCTTTAAGTTTCAACAAACAATTATGACCCAAGTAATCAAAATAAAACAACACCGCTAGAGGCTACATCAGAGAATGCATGTTTTTATTTTTAAAATGGCATATGATAATGCTTTAGTAGATAGTTGTGCATCTTACATCATGATAGTTAAAAATGACGTGGTCTCACTTTACACTGAACTCTGTCTCCCAACAATTGGTTTCTCCTTCCAACCATAGTCCTTCTGCCTTCGCATTACCCTGGCAACCCATTTTTCATATTTTTACAGAATTGACTTTCTTGTCGAAGTGGTGGGAATCCATTTTATTGACAAAATGGAATTGCTTTATTTTTAAAAAAATATATTTAATTTTTATTTTGCAATTGGAAAAAATTCTAGACACGATGGTAAAAAAATTTATCATTTTTATTGACAATTTACATACAAAACGAAGCCAAAGGAATGGTATTCGGTATGGTAATTTTTTTTTGGGCAATTGAAACAAATTCTAGACCCAATGGTAGAAAAAATTATCACTTTAATAGACAATTTCCATAAAAAATAAGCCGAACGGATACTAAATTTCTAACATTTTTCAAGTGGAAAATTATACCAATCAAACACAATTAATTACAATTCTCAGTAAAACAATTTCTAAACAATTCAATTCCTTGGAATTCATTTTCTTTCCACCCATTTTCCACCTTCACAATCAAATGGATCCTAATCATTTTTGGTCAATGATTTCCTTTTGGATATTGTGTTTTCAATAAACGGATGTGCATGCATGCCTGAGTGAGTGAGTGCATGGATGTAGATCAAATTAAGATTAACAAAAATGAAGCCCTTATTTGATTTAGATAAAAGTTGGATTTTTAGTTTTGATCAAAGTTGAAAAAATGTGTGGTTGAAAAATTTATGAAAATTGTGGGTCCCATAAAATATGAGATTAAAAATGAATTTGAGGAAAAATAAATTTTAGAAAATGGGGGCTAAACAGGAGCGTATATTAGCTTTATTCTCATTAATGGTGTGTTTGAACCACATTATTTTGAAAGAATGTATTATGAAATAATAGATTGATGGAGAATGTGTGGTTGAAAAGGAAGGTAATGTTATTGATGTGATGAAAAATATTATTTTATAGAAGAATGTGTGGTTGAAAATGAGTAGAAAAATGAGAATGAAAAAAATAATGTGTACCAATTAGGGGCTAAATTTGAGATCAATTGAATGAATCCTTGCATGATTCGTTGGCTAATTGGGTGTCATCTAGCATCCCAATGTCAGTGTTGTGCGA